CCACCCTGTGAAGTCAGTATTCTTTGAACTTTAGTTGTTGAATTCCTTTCCAAAGGAAGTCAGTCTTCCTTTGGGTGTTTCTGGTGGGACAATCAAGTTTATTTTTTTCATATGCTCATTGTTCTGTAAAAGTAGGTTTTAAGCTATTGCTTAGAATGGTCATTCTGTTTTTAAAAGAATGCTGAACATTTTAACATGGTTTTAAAATTGCTTTAAACTGTTTTGAGAACTTTTTGTTCATTTTGTAGTTGAGGGTCTTCATGTGCTAAAAATGATAAATAAGTACTTTCCATAACAAGTAAACCCTTTCTTAAAGTAGTATTCAGAAACCTTCGGTTTTCATAGTGACTGCTAAGAAATTTCCCTCTTCAGCAAATCCTTCAACTTACTGTATTTTTCCTGTATAAGACGCCCCAATGTATAAGACCCCCCCCCTGACTTTTCTTACCGAAAATTAAGAAATCTAAGTGGGGCTTAGCAAGTGGAAGAGAAAAGCAGGGATCAAACTGCTGCATAATTGCTTTGATCCCTGCTTTGCCCCTCCACTTTCTTGCTAAACTCTGTGGGGCTTAGCAAAAAAGAGGAAAGATCGCTTTGATTCCTGCTTTCCCCTTTCTAGCTAAGCCTGTGGGGCTTAGCAAGAAAGGGGAAAGCAGGGATCAAACCGATCATGCAGCACTTTGATATCTGCTTTTCCACTCCACTTTCTTGGTAAGCACTGTTGCTTTAATTCCTGCTTTCCCCTTTCTTGCTAACCCCCTTAGTTAGCGAAAAAGTGGATGGGAAAAGTAGAGATCAAAGTACTGCAGCATTGCTTTGATCCCTGCTTTCCTCTACCACTTGCTAAGAGGGATTTCCCTCTCCTTACTTCCATGTATAAGACGACCCTCAATTTTAGTCTAAAGAGTTTAGACAAAAAGTATCATCTTATGTACATGGAAAAATATGGTACAGTGATGCCTCGACTTACGAACGTAATCCGTTCCAGAAGATGGTCATAACTCGAAATGGTCGTAAGTTGAAGCACCATTTCAACTTGCATTGAAATGCAATTAATCCGTTCCAGCTAAAGAAAAAGATCACCAAAACAACACTGCTAGACCCATTGGAAATGCAAAGAAAGCAAAGCAAAAGAAAAAACGCAAACCCTGCAAGACCCATCAGAAATGGGAAAAGAAACCCAAAAAGCAAACAAGCTCCCCAAGACCCATCCGAAATGGGGGAAAACCCCAAAAAGCAAACAACCCCCCCAAGACCCATCGGAAATGGGGGTGACAAAAACACAAAAAGCAAGCAGCCCCCCCCAGGCCCATTGGAAATGGGGAAAAAAACCAAAGCAAAAAACTCTCCAAGACCCATCAGAAATAGGGAAAAATAAACAAAAAACAAACCCCCAAGACCCATCACAACATAGAAACATAATCCCACCACCCAACCCAAAACTACGCTGCAAAACCCACCGAGAACAGTTTTTAAAAAGCAGAAACCTTACCTGGCAGTCTGAAGCCTCCGATCGCACTCACTCTAACTGTTGGGGCGAAAGAGCTACAAAGAAGCAGCCTCTTTGTCTACCAATGGTGAGCAATTTGAATTCCCCGCCTTTTCCCCTGCCTTTTTTCTGATCGTGACTGGAAGCTCCCACCGCAAGTAGAAGCAAAATTTTGCGGCCAGGAAGCTCCCACCGCAAGTAGCAAAATTTTGCGGCCAGAGCTGGTCATAACTCGAAATGGTCTTAAGTTGGGACGTTCGTAAGTCGAGGCACCACTGTATATATATACTGTACGTTTTACCCTTCTGCAAGGTCTGAATTGTATTTTCAGCTTGCTTTCCAAATATTATCAGAATCTATTGCAGTGGAGGCCTTCATTTCTTATCAAATGCAGAGACATTGAAGTAGAGGTGTTCACATGACCTAGAAATCAAGATGGGTGAGGTCAAGATGTAAGTCTTCTAAGCTTTACTTATTGTTATAGCCAGCGTTGTGTATAACTGAACTGGAAAGCTTTATGTACAAAGCAGGATTCTGCGCTAAGCTCCTATTCTTTTCTCTGCCCGTTTGCTTCAGGGCTTGACTTTTAAAACAAAGGATAACATAGGAGCTCTGTCGGGCTCTTATAAGACATACTTGCTCCCTCAAAACAAGAAATTGATGGAAATACTTTGGATAACATTTTCTGGCAGACTTCATTCTGTCTTATGGCTGCCACCATTTGAATTGGCAATACTGTATGTTTCATAAGGTAGATTGGTCTCAATCCAGAGACATGCTGGCAGTAGTGATGAGATCCTATCCTTATTTATATCCATATTACTTATATACTACCTTTCTTCTCCCAAGGGACTCCAGGCAGCTCACAACAATTAAAATCATACAATAATGACAAGTTTAAAAATACGGTATAAAATTATTAAACATTGGTCAAGATTAAAAACAATTTTTAAAAAAGCATTTTAAAATAAACCTAAATTTCAGAAATAGAGTGTTCCCTCACCCCCACATACCGCTTTAAAAACTAACTGAAAAGGAAGGTCTTTGGCCACCTCCCTCCTGTCCTTCTGTCATTAGGCAATCCGGCTTCTCAAGACAGTGCATTCCAAAGCAGGCAATAGCCACGGACAAGAGCCCTCTCTTGTGTCCTCACTAAACAAGGTTGGGAAGGTGGTGGAACTAAGAAAAGGGCCTCCCCAGAAGATCTTAAAAAGTTTAGTAGGCTCATGTGGGGTGATAACAATCCTTCAAATAGCCTGGACCTAAGCCATATAAGGCTGTATGTGTAATAACTGCCACTTTGAATTGAGCCTGGAAACAGACTGGTAGCCAGTGAAACTGCTGTACTAACCTGGTTAGTAATACATTCTCTATATCCTATGCCAACCAGAAGGCTGGCTGCAGCATTTTGAACCAGCTGAAATTTCCAAATACTCTTCAAAGGCAGCCTTAATATAAAGCATGTTGCTGTAATCCAGACAAAATGTATCTGTGATATGTGTTACCATGGCCAGTTCAGACATCTCCAGGTATGGGCGCAGCAGGTACATCCGCTTGAGATGTGCAAAGGCATTCTTGGTCACCTGTGAGATTTGTGCATCCAAGCCCAGGTTTGAGTCCAGGAGTACTGCCATGCTGCAAAACTGATTTTTTTTTAGGTGGACTGTAACCCCATCCAATATGGTGGATCCATATTCCCTGATCTGCCTTGTGATTAACTTTCAGTTTGTTAGCTTTCATCCAGTCCATTACTGGCAACAGGAACTAGTCTAGGCACAGAACAGCTTCCCTGGAATTAGATGGGAAGGAAGAGAGGGAAATGGAGTCCTTGGCTTTGAAGAGGTTTTTAGTCTGCCCAGTGCAAAGTTTTGTGGTTCTTAAGGAACCTGTTGGCTCTAGATACCACTCTTACACTAAGTTGATCATTGGATGTGCTTAATAACCTTTCTTTTGCCAAACTTCTATAGTGTGTGTTCGCCACATGTGGCTATTTTTACAGTGAACTCTGAAATATCAGTCAAATCAAGACTAGAATGCCAGTCTATATTGCATCTTTTCTGGGAACTAACTATAAATATCTATTCCACTTGTGTGTAGTTAGTATTTCTGCGTTGTAGTACACTAGATGTAACTTCCATCAACATATGACTTTATGTACTGCCTGTATGTGGCTTTCTGTTTTTAGTATACTCTTGCTTTTTCTATGTATTTTTTCCCTTTATGTTACTAATAATGATAGCATTTATTTATGCTGTTTATAGACTGTAGGGCAGAAGTTCTCTGGGGAGTTACAAGATTTTCAAAAGTTGAAACAATTATTGTAAACAGTAGAAATACAGAAAGATGGAGGAAATAGGACACAGCTAACCAGAGGTTACTAGGTATGGCAGAGGCTGTCATAGCAAAGTCAGTTTGTATAGCTAGTATTCTTATCAAGGCAGTACACGTTTTTAATTCTGTGTAGTGTACAGAAATACCCTTCTCAAAATTGATAACTGCTTAACAAAGTAACTGTGACTTGGAAACAGTGCTATAGGACCACATGCCCCAAAATGTTATCTGAAGCTGCCACATTAAACTATCTCATAGCAGAGGAGGTCTGGTGAGACATACCAGGAAGTAATATTTTTGGTTGAAGAGCTCAGCAGAAGCAACATGAGCATCTATAATACAGCACTTTTAAACTCAGTTAAAATGCCCTGTTATTAACACTGTGATGGGTTGTCCCTTTATTGTGCACATGAGATGTTGAATTCTCTTGGTGAACCAAGGAAAAAGCAGTTGAAGTACGTAATAAGGATCAAAGGTATTTCCAATTCAGTTTGCTTTTCTGCTAAGAAAAGAGGAGTTAAACAGCGGATTTTCTTGTGTCTTGCCATGTAGAAAATGGCATAATAAAGAAGTAGTTTTACTTCATGTTGGGTACTCGTTAGACTCAATTAAAACATGCATTTTTCTGCAGCAAAATAAAAAGTATCAACAGATACCTTGTTTTCCTGAAAATAAGACCTAACCCAAAAATAAGTCCTAGTATGATAAGATAAAAACTTTATTACGGTCAAAAGACCAGCCACAAATAAAACATCTAAAATATATAAATATACAGAAATAGACAAAAACATTGGAATTGAATGCAAAGCAATAGTTGGTTCTGAGGTAAACAGTATGATTTTTCCGGATGCTCGTAATATAAGGCCTACCCCAAAAATAAGCCCCAGTTTAGTGAAACCTCGCCCTCCACTATTGTGCAGCAACCAAAAGAAGATGACATGACTGTATTTGAATAAATATAGATGGTTGTACATGAAAAAAATCCCCAGAAAATAAGCCCTAATGTGTTTTTGGAAAAAAAAATTATTATAAGAACCTGTCTTATTTTCAGGGAAACACGGTGCTTGGTATGATGGGAAGGGTTATCTTGTTTATTTTCTCACCACCATAAATTCCAGCTTTTGTAAAGCTGAGCTTAAGCTTAGTAGGATGACTTCTGTGAAATCTGTTCTTTTAACAGGCTAAGCGAAGACTGGAACTAGGAGAGAGTGGACAGCCATTTATAGCTGAAGGGTTAAGAACGCCAAAGGGTAAAGGGAGAGCTGCAACTCGAAGTCCAGATAGTCCAAAAAGTAAGGACCTTTTTGCTTAAATATGTGACAAAGATATTTTATTCTTCCATTCACTTACTCATTTATTCATTCCATTCTTACCATGTCTTTTTGCGCTAGTGGGGACCCATAGTGGCAAACGGAAATATTTAAAGTCTACAGTTAATTAGAATAAAATAAACTAAAGTTTAAAATACAATACAAATGTTTAAAAACATTATTTAAAAATTAAAAGTCAGAGAGCTCATTTCAGTTTCCTGATGACCCCGAAAAAGCTCTCAAAAGAAGTAAGTTTCTAGTTGTTTGCAGAAGGAAAGCTTTTGCTTTTGAAATCTCAAATAAATGTTGAGTCTTAAAAAAGGGAGGAACAACTCCTAAAGTAACCTTGTCTTTTTGACAGTTAATCAAGCTAAAATTATGAGCTGTGACCTCATAAATAGTTCTTGTGTTCTCCCTTCTCTGCAGGAAAAGGCTAAATGCTGACCAGGTACAGCCATTGATTTACTGTCCTGTAATGTTAGAACTGCTGCTTTATGAATTGTGTAGCAAAAACTGTTAAAATTCTGCTCAAAATAACTTCAAGTATTCCTACTATGCATAATTCTACATCTGCATTTCAGGTCTGAGAATAAATGTAAAAATAAGGGTTGATGGCTAGTTGGGTGTAAGTGGGAGAGCCGAGGGATATAGTTAAGTTTTGGAAAAACTTGCTTAAAGCCCTGAATCTAATATGCTTGAATTTTCATATTCTGCAACAATAAGGCCCAGAGCGTGTTTTCAAAAAGATGCAGAGGAAACATGGCCTAAGGGACCAAACTCAGTATCTCAACATAGTGAGCCTGTTACTGAATTCTGCACCATCCACTAACCAATCTTCCAAAATTCACTGTGGCAGTTGTCATGTTAAATGACACTTACAGAGAATGTACCCATTGGCCATAATTGATTAATGGATTGTTTTGAAGAAAGAATTGCTAATGTTTTGCTTGCTTTTGTAAGCTGTTAGTCACACCCCAAATCTTGGAAATGAAGATGCAAAATCATGATGTATCTTTTAGCTCTGTTTTTCTTTTACTAACACTGTCTATAAAGTTTGAGCTATATTTTATTTAAATTATAGTTATGGCCATTATCTGCAGAACCTTAGTTTAGGTTTGCTTAGGTAAATCAATTTAGCTGAAGTCTGCTGATCTCATTCAACATACTGTGGATGCTTCCACATAGCATGGAGGTCTAAGACATTTTTTTTTGGCTTTGGGGTAGTCTTTCCCTTAGACTTTCTATTTTTACCCTTCTGCTTGTTGCCATTCTTATCTATTTCCATGTTTTGGGGCTGTTACTTTCCTCCTTCACTGTTTATTCCTGTTCCTCATTAAGAGAAATGTTTTAGGTAAATGGTGAATGTTGCTTGGATTTTAGTTGTTTTTAATTAAAAATATCAGACCCAGAAATGTTTAATACAAGATTTTATGCAAGTTTCAGGATGATTGTGAAACAATGTTTTTTCCTTCAAGCTCCCAAATCTCCTTCAGAAAAAACACGATATGATACATCACTTGGTCTTCTCACAAAAAAGTTTATTCAGCTCCTGAGCCAGTCCCCAGATGGTGTAGTAGATTTGAACAAAGCCGCAGAAATTCTTAAGGTTCAAAAACGGAGGATTTATGATATCACCAATGTCCTGGAAGGCATTCTTCTCATCAAGAAAAAATCCAAAAACAACATTCAGTGGATGTAAGTAGTGTCATATAGGGATGAGGTATTTGTACTTCAAGGATTCCCACCCCCAGAATTTGTCTGGAATCCCTCAGGCAGAAATCTGGGCGTGCAGAGCACACACAGCAAGCAAAAGAGAGGTTTCCCCATGGCCACTCCACATGTTTCGGATTTGATGGAGGAGGAGGGGGCAGTATAGCAAGGTTCCTGCGAGTTAATGCAATGCTGCAGTAATTCAATAAGAGGCTCCCTGTGTTGATCCTAATGGATAGCAAGGCTACACTTTGCAGATAGCATTGGAGCAACTCCCAGAAAGCCTTATTACCAGCAAGCAACAGCCCCCCGCTTCATACCTGAACCAGAGTGGAATGATGGTGGGGAAGCGTTCCTTTTGCTTGTTATTTGTGCTCTCCCACTCTCTGAAATCTACTGGGGGGATTCCAGGTGAATTCTGTGACCAGAGTCCTTGAAATACACAAGTCTCATCTTTAGTGTCATAGCTTTGCATTCTTGTTTGTGGGAGCGTTGTATGCCTTTAGCTTTTGCCATCATATTTTCAATGAAAAGGGGTATTTTCAACTCAGTGTACAGTCTTCTTACTGGAAGTAACTCCCTAGAGGAGCTGTTGAAAGAACCAAAAGGTGAAACCACCACTCACTAAACTGTCTTAGGAATGATTCTGACTTGAGAGAAGGAACTATCCTTTCCTATGGGATACTCTACACAGACTGTTTGTGGCAGCCAGTAGTACTTATGCAGAGGGAGGGTTCCTCTGCTTACCAAGTGCTGGGATCAGATGTCTGTGTCATCCAGCTACTGCTAGAGCTAAAGTATTGGACTCTCTGATGTGCTCAAAAGAGTTGTGTATACATTTCCATGGCTTATACAAGCATGTAGAAAGGTACAGTGGTGCCTTGCTTGAAGATGTTAATTCGTTCCAGCGAAATCGCTGTAGAGCAAAAACATCGTCACACGAAATAAAAAAGCCCATTGAAACGCATTAAAACCTGGTTAATGCGTTCCAATGGGCTAAAAACTCACAGTCCAGGGAAGATCCTCCATAGGGTGGCCATTTGCCATGCCTGTGCAGCGAGGAATCCGTCCCTAAGCACAGCGGGGGGCCATTTTCTTCAACCGGCGGCCATTTTGAAACCCGACGATCAGCTGTTTTTGATCGTCGTAAAGCGAAAATCGGTTCCCGAAGCAGGGAACCAATCATCTCTAAGCGAAATTCCCCCATTTAGACCATCGTAAAGTGATTTCCTTGTTAAGCGAGGCAATTGTTAAGTGGGGCATGACTGTATTTTTCTGTTGGCAGAGACACAAAATAAAGGGAGTAGTCTAGTAGCCTTAAGTACATAATTCCAGAATCTTGGAGTGGCCACTAAGAAAGTCCTCTCATGTCCATTTCAGGTGTGCCTCAAAAGGTGATGAGACCAAATAAAGGTCTCAGTCAAAGATCTGAAAGCCTGGAAAGATTTGTACGGAAGTATACTGAACTTTAGATAGCCTGGACTGAAACCAATTTTTATTTATTTATTAGATTTCTACCCAGCCCCCCTAGACAGTGTCTTCTTGGGGCGGCTTACAAATGTCATAAAATATCATAAAATATAATAAAACATCATAATCATTAAGCAGTTAAATCAATAATGTGGTATGTTCAAGATGTACAACCAAGTTGTACAGAGAAGTATAGGTCACAACCAAGAGTCTGAATCGTGCCCAGAAATAGATTGGTAATCAGAATACCTTTGAATTGTCTGCTGATTTGTTTTGAAGGGGCTGCAGTCTATCTGACTTTGGGGGTACACTGGCACACTATCAAGGCTTATCTAAGGAGGTAGCAGAACTCAATCAGGAAGAGAAGAAACTGGACGAGTTGATACAAAGCTGTTCCCATGACCTCAAGTTACTAAGAGAAGATTCTGAAAATCGGAGATATCCTTTTTCAATCAGATGGAGCTAATGTCCTTGGAAAAATCGGACACTTTTCTGATTGCTCTTATCTTTTGATGCAGTAAGGCTACCATTTTGCATCTTTATGGTGTCTGTCTGAAAATAGCAAATTATGTGGTAGCTCTACAGCAGAGATGTGACTTTGAAGTAGCTATTCTGCTTCTCTAAAATGCTAGCAAAAAATTTATCTTTCAAACTGACAGGACAAAAATTTACAGTGGTTTCTAACACAAGATTATGTAAATACTTAATTTTCAATACGTTCCGATAGTGACATATGTGTAAACTGTAAATAATTGCTCAACAGTGCAGTTAAAGTCTATACCAGTGGTTCTTCACCTTTTTGAAAGAATCGCCCCCTTGAGCCATTGAGGAAGTTATCATTGCCCCCCTTCCCCGCGGTGCTGTGGCGTCGTGGCGGCGGTGGGAGAGGGAGGTGCGGCAGTACTAAAAATCCAATCAAAACAGTCGCAGCGGTGCTGTGGTGTCATGGCGGCGGTGGGAGGGGGGAGGTGCGGCAGTACTAAAGATCCAATCAAAACAGTAATGTATAGCAAGCTAAAAATCACACACAGGTAGCTGGTTTACTGAGGGAAGGCTTGCCTAAAGAGAAAGGTCTTTGCCTGGTCACAGAAGGAGAGCAATGAATGGGGCCAGCCTGGCCTCGAGTGGCAGGGAGTTCCAGAAGTTGGGATGCAGTTTAAAATGTTTTCAGATAGAAACAAAGGGACACCTTGGTGCCACTGAGTCCTCATACAAAGGGAATCTAGGGAAGTAGTGACCCTTTCCACAAACTTTTATATTGAAAGAAAAGGAAATTCCTTGCAGGATGACGAATGGGGGGGCTGGCGGGCTGGCTGTTGCTTGAAGGCGGCAGGAGGAGGAGGATGAGAAATGGGGTGAGGAAAAGGGCCCCTGCTTGCTGACATGTGGAGGAAGAGGAGCTGTTCCATGCAGTCTATAGGATCCAGAATGGGGGAGTTGTAGATGGGAAGCTTCCTAAGAGGAAGCTTCTTCATGGGATGGGGGCAGGGTGGCCTTAAAGTGGGACTGGCCCCGAGTTCTGGGCTCCGGGTTTCTCCCCTTGAGCTGTGAAGGTCCTCATTTTTCCAGGAGAGCCATGGGGGCATTGGGAAGGGCAGGGGGCAGAGGTCCAGGGGAAAGCCCCGCACAGAGCAAGAAGAGCCGATGAACGCAGTGCATGTGAGTGCATGCAGACCGCCATTGCAGAACTGAGGTGGGATTCTCTTCCTGGCCAACTATACTGCGGTTCATGGTGTGGGTGGGAGAGATGAAGACCTTTTCTCCTAGTTTTTCAGGGTCTCACGCTCTTCTCACCAAAGAGCAGTGGATGCAGCAACATTTGGGGACTCGGATGGGAAGCAGGAGGAGGAGTGAGAAAGGATCTGCAAGTCATGTAAGCTTCCATTAAACTTTTTTATGAGCAGAGGGTCTCTCCTGGGTCCTTCACTGGTGTCAAAGACCAGTTGTTGTTTTTTCTTTTTGCTGGAGAGACAGGGTGGTGCCAGATGGCAGTGAGGGTTCGGAAGGAAAGCTCTCCCCCCCCCCGGCGGCAGTGGGGGTGACGGCAGGAGGGGGGCGGCAGGACAGCAGTGTGAGCTAGAGTGAGACAGTGAGCAGAGGACTGGGAGCGCACAGACGCACATATCCAGCAAAGCGAGCCTCAGTGCACATCAAACGCCAAAAGGAAAGAATGAAAGAACCAACCAACAAAAGAGTCCGCTCACCAGCTGGCAGCGGCTCGCTCCATCGCCCCCCTACCGCCCCCTTCTGTTCCTTTGTCCCCACATCACCCCTTTTAATTCCATTGCCCCCCTGAAAAATGAAATTGCCCCTTGGGAGGCAATATTGCTCAGGTTAAGAACCACTGGTCTATACCATTCTTATTTGATTTTCTGCAATTAATGAAAGTTTGATTTGTTTGTATAAGCTAGAACACTTCCAAATTTGGTTTCGGTATCTGGCTGCAAAGCCAGAGGTTGGGAGTTCAATTCCCCACTGTACCTCTTTGGCAGGGGCTGGAGTCAATGATCCATAGGGTCCCTTCCAGCTCTGCAATTCTAAGATTATGATGATGATGATGTTGATGATGATTTTATGTAATGAACAAACATGAAATATATCGTAGCATTTATAAATTGCTTTGTGCTTGACCTAGTTTTAGTGTGCATTGATTTTATTCTATTTCAAATGCAGGTACCTTTATGTATTTGTAGCTTGTGTACCAAGTGGACAGGAGAATATAAAGTAGGAAGAAACTTAAGGTAGGCTAATCTGTGCAAAAGAATCTACTGCATTATGTTAATTTTTGTCACTGAAGTGCTTTGTCTGAACAATTCCTTAACATGGATTACATTAGCGTATATTAGGTACGAAGATATTCGAGAAATTAGTAGCCTTAAAGACCAAACAGTCATACTTGTGAAAGCTCCTCCAGAAACAAAACTTGAAGTGCCTGACCCACTAAAGGTAAGAAAATTCTTCTTTTCCCACTTAACAAAACTGCTATGGTTTATTTTTCTTAGTCATTTAAAAAAGTCTTATGTCAGTGCATTACATTTATGAAGGAAGGTTTTGTGCATAAGAACACAACACTTCTGCTGGACAACCTTTCAGCCCTTTGTGGTCTGATATCAAGATTAAAGGTTGGGGAATATATTTATGTACTACAACTTCCAAAATCCCACATTCCATGCACTGCCATTGATCGTGGTATAATGGGATTCTGAGGGTGCTATATGAAAGATAACGTTTTCAAGCCCTGGTTGAAATCCTGTAGTTTTGATGTGAAAGACCTGCATTGGTTACCGGTTGCTTTCTGGTCCCAATTTGTTGACTTTTAACTTTTAAAGCCCTAGTTGGCTTGGGGCCTGGCTGCTTAGGGGACCACCTGTACCTTTATGAACCTGTTAAGTTCTTCAGGAGAAGTCCTCTTGAGAATAGCATCACCTGCCAAGTTTTGTTTGTAGGATGTACTCCCCGTGAAGCGGGGCCAGTGTGATCAGTTTCCACTTGTGGTTTCCACTTGTGCAGAGGCAGGGTTCCTCTGCTTACCAAGTGCTGGGATCAGATGTCTGTGTCATCCAGCTACTGTTAGAGCTAAAGTACAGTGGTGCCTCGCATAACAATGTTAATTGGTTCCATTAAAAACATTGTTATGTGAAAACATTGTTAAGCAAAACACCATTTCCCATAGGAATGCATTGAAAACTGGTTAATCCATTCCAATAGGAGCCTATTCAATACATTTCAATGGTGGAAAAAAAATCACCAAAAATTCAAAAAGACTCAGAACGAAGCCAAATTACTTTAACGAAGGTTTTATTAGGTGCACTAACGATTCCAAGCATTTTAAACATTTTTTAAACATTTTAGAATATTGTTATGAGAAAATCCCGCATAGGAAACATCGTTAGGTGAGGCGGCAAAATTTCCAGCAAAGGCCATCGTTATGTGAATTCATCATTGAGCGAGGCACTCGTTAAGCGAGGCACCACTGTATTGGACTCTCTGATAAGGGAGCAGTCTAGATGTATACATTTCCATGGCTTATACAGGCATGTAGAAATATATTTTTCTGTTGGCAGAGACACAAAATAAAGGGAGCAGTCTAGTAGCCTTAAGTACATAATTCCAGAATCTTGAAGTGGCCACTAAGAAAGTCCTCTCATGTCCACTTCAGGTGTGCCTCAAAAGGTGATGAGACCAAATAAAGGTCTCAGTCAAAGATCTGAAAGCCTGGAAAGATTTGTACGGAAGTATACTGAACTTTAGATAGCCTGGACTGAATAAGCAATACACATCAGAAAGCAATAAACATTCAAAACATTTAGAAAGAATGTGAAGACCTGTACCTCCAAACTGGCCTTTTAATGTGTTCTGATGTTTATTGCTTATTTATTTTATTATCAGATTTGGTTCAAATTACCAAATAATTTTTTTTGGTCTTAACAGAATAAGCTTATCCACTTATCAAGTACCCAGGGGCCTATTGAGGTTTACCTATGTCCAGAAGAAACAGAATACCCCAGTCCAGTGAAAGTGCAGGATCCAGACCACAATGGAAATATCTCAAGAACTCTTTCCAAAGGTAACTTTTAAAAATGATTATGGCCAAATAGACTCAGAGTTTTAAAAGCAAAAGCAGAATTGAATCTGTATTGTTAATAACTGTGTGTGATGTATTGCCTCCAGGGGTTTTCTGACTTCATTTACCAAATTACTAGTTCATTCATGATACAAGTGGTGCAAGTGTCTGGCCACAGGCTCTATATTTGTACATTTAAGGTAGTGCTAAAAGTATGTAACACCTTGTCATATAAAAAAGGAAAGTGAACACCTTGGTATAAGACACAAAATTTATACCAGTTTCAATATGATGAGGACTGCTGACAACTGAAACTACAATAATTTTAAAATCATCATGATTCCTGTTTAATTATAATGCTCATATTACCTTTGTCTAGATTTCCTTGTTAACTCATTTGTTTGGGGCAGTTAAAATACTGCTAATATATACCTTACCTCTTGGCCACTGCGGTACAAGAATGTATATGATATTCCATAATTAAGAATGCAAACTTAATTACTTCTGGCTTTTGAAATATCAGTAGTAACTTAAAACTCAATATCCCTTAGTTATATGTTAGTTTATGCATATTACCCTGTTTTCCCAAAAATGAGACCTAACTCGAAAATAAGCCCTAGTATCACTTTTCAGGATGCTCGTAATATGAGCCCTACCCCAAAAATAAGCCCCAGTTAAGTGAAACCCTGCCCCCCACCATTGTGCAGCAACCAGAAGAAGATGACATGACTGGATTTGAATAAATATAGATGGTTGTACATTTAAAAAAATCCCCTGAAAATAAGCCCTACTGCGTTTTTGGAGCAAAAATTAATATAAGACCCTATCTTATTTTCGGGGAAACGCGGTAGGATATGCATATTATAGCACTCAGCATTTCCTTGAGAGGGAGTCTACATTTGGCAGAGACAGCTCTAAGAAATCTGCCTCCGAGAATTCTTTGGCATATTTTAAAAGACTGTTGCTCAAGCTTGTGTGTGCTTACAATATGAGACCACTTAAGTTTGAACTAAGCAGAGATGAGCAGGAGATATATGTTCTGCTAAACTAGGCAACCTACCTTCAGAATACACTGGGACTAGTAGAACAGTGACACAGTATGCTAAAATCCTGCCTGCGTGTGTCTCATGTTGTTTTCTTTTCTTAAATAACGTAATAACCTTTTCCCTCTCCCACAACAGATATGATTTCTGAAAACTCAGGAAGTCTTAACTGTTCACTAACTACCATCTCCCCATTGGCATCTACGACCAACCTATTGCAGCAAACAGAGGACCAAATTGCTTCAAATTTTGAAGGGCCATTTGTGAACTTGTTGCCACCTCTACTTCATGAAGATTATCTGCTTGGTCTTGGTGAAGAGGAGGGCATCAGTGATCTCTTTGATTATGATTTTGAAAAAATGCCTGCATTGATGGATGGATTTTTGTGCAGTTGATCGTTCCTTGTTATCTTCTCCCATCTTCCCTAATTCTAAAAAAAGAAACCAGAGTATATGTTGTCATTCCATGTTAGCTATCCTTTTATCTCTTGGCTGTGCCCAATTTCATGATTAGCATTTAGAATTCTTGATATTTGTAAATAAATACATAATAGACTAATGCAAACACAGAACTGTAGACTTCTTCCATTAGGATTACCTTAATCCCAATTTCTGGTAACTATTGATTTAGCAAATTATAAAAGACGCACACGGGAATGACTATCCTTTATTCTGATTTATTGTGTCTATAAGCTTCATGAAGGGCTCCACAATAACTGTTTTAGCCACTCACAGCAATTCTTCCTCAATATTTCAAACTGTGCCTTCTGTAGAGAGTATGTATGTACTGACTCTATTCATATTGACAGTAATTGTAACTGGAAATAAGTGTGTGAAAATACAGAGACAAAGGCCTCTGAGAATGTTTGGATTCTTCTCCATAGCCCATTTTTTAGCTAAAGTATCTAGCCCTTTAAGAACCTAATACCCTCAAATAGTTTTTCATAAAAATTAAAGTTTAAATGTATTGCAGTCTTAGGTAAAATATAGATATAATGCAATTAGTGCAACAGAGTGTGCCCGGAGCAGCCAGGGGTTTATATCTCTAACCATTAAAAAATAAATATAGCTGAAATCCTGCATCTGTTCTAGAGATAAGCAGGTAGAGTGGATGGGATCCAGTCCCTGCTCACTCTACAGAACAGTCAGTTGACAGGATTTTGGTTCCCTTTCCTCCAAAGAGCTACTCACGCACAGCTCCTGATGGCTGGTGAATTCCACCTTGTATCAGCTGCTGCATGAGGTTATCTCCATCCTCCGTGGGAGACTTGTGTGGAAGTCTGCATCCACGTGCATATAGCCTCTAGCTGGATCAAAGTGACAGTTTTCTCCATCCAGTGCTGGAAGCTTGATTTTTTTTTAAGTGTTACGTGAAGATGTCATCTGTTAACATACAAAACAGAAATGTATCATTTGATTTTACTATTTTCAGTGTGCAATAGAACTGGTATGTAAAGTTTGTGGTACGAAGTGGGACTTTAAAATAAAGTGCCTACTTGAATTGCACTGTGGGCTTTTTCCTCTAAGGGATACTATTTATGCCAAGCTTTTACTTACTCAGAACACTGTGTTTATTTTAGTGGCTTAGCTGCTGCTGCTGCTCCTGGTTTGAGGAGCTGATACAAAGCTGACATTTTACCCAAAGTGTAAATAATATACCTGTTAGTACTCTCTGTATTCAATTTTAATTTATAACTCTGCTGGTGTAGCATATGTTCTGAGATAAATAGTATTCATACCCACAGTTGCGTAAAATGTTGCCACTTTATGTTAATTAGTTGAATATCCTAAACAATTTGCATTGCCTTTTTTATCTATTACTTAATAAGTTACTAAAATGTTTATCTTTTTAAATATATGTGTGCAGGTTTTCTGGTACCACTGAGATGCTGCTATAGACACTCACACATGAAATAGTGGAGTAGTAGTATGAAAGTAGTATGATTGAGTCTTGGAATATAATTGTGTAAGAAGGGCAACACATTAAGAACTGTTAAACAGTGTTAAGTGTGTTTTTTATATGTACAAATATGTGCATAGTTACTTGGTTATTTAAGTTGTGTGTTCTTAAATTTTAGTCATCTAACCGTTTTGTACAATAGGAATGAATTTGTAAAACCTGCCAGAATATTTTATAGTGGTTTGTAATTTCTTGAACAAAAAAATTAATGTGGGTGTGTAAATAAAAAAAAACAGTATTTAAACTTTGTCTTGTGGAAGGAAATAAAAGTTTGTGTGAGCATGAATGCTTTTATGGTATGAAGGGGATCTTTGGACAGAATGAAATGAAGGGGGGATTAAATGTTATATGCCAATTTGTATAATTTACATACTTTAAAAGTGGGCAAAATACTAACCTTAATATACCTTTGAATAGTATGCTAGTTCTACAAATCTGTAAAATAGTGTAAAAAGCAGCTTTGCATTTGTAAAGACAATTTGTTCTCCAGCAGTGACCTTGCCTCTTCAAATGTATGTAACTGGTAAATTTTTTATGGTAATCAATAAAGCTTTATATCAATATATAACTGGTTTTGAAATGCATTTTACATCACCAAAGGCATCCCCCATGAACTAGGCTGCTAGTGACATGGCTGGTCACCTTGCTTAGGTGAATATAGCTAGTCTGAGCGGTGAATAATGAAACATCTTAACACTATGAGTTGTGGCACACTGGTTAAATTGCAGTTCTGCAGCCAAGCCTTTGCTTGTGACCTGAATTCAATCATGATGAATTCAGGTAGCCGACTCAAGGCTGACTGAACCTTGCATCCTCCCAAGGTTGGAAAACTGACTGCCCAGCTTGCTGGGGGAGCAATGTGTAGCCTGCATAATTAAACTAAACCGCCCAGAGAGTGCTTTAAGTGCTATGGGGCAGTATATAAGCAGCTGTCTTTGCTTTCATGGATGAATAGGAATTTTCATTCCAGACCCAACACTGCAACCACTGAATGCTACCAAATATGTCATACATATTCTGTACCCTACAAAATGGTGTTAAAGGAAAGAGAATGAGTCCAAGCAGCCCAGGAGTAGAATGCACTAGTAATATGGAAATGTAAGAGGGCTGTAAGACTTGGCACGAAGTGGGAAAGGAGAATAGAGATGACACAGGCTTGTACTCAGCATGCGCTGTAGTATCACCGAAGAAGACATGCACATCCAAAATACCAACAACCAGAAGCAAAACAAAACCCAAAGCTATACAGGTGTATGATTACTGGTTTTTCAAATCAAATTGCTTCCAACAAAGGAAAAAAGTTGGAAGGGCTGACCTCACAGGATTTTGTAACTAATATTAGAGTGAGTGTATCTCTCAAGTCTGGGCCAAGATTATATCAGCAAGATCCTACCCCAACAAACTGAGTCCTTTTTAAAATATATGCAAAGCATCCCAGTATTAGGCATGATAGTCTCTTCACTCTATGATGTTTTGCGTTCACCAAAATGTTATTTTTAAATATATGAGTGGGTGGGCAACAGCTTTAACAAAAATTATGAAGAAAATAAAAACTGACTACCTGACCCCTCTTTTGTTATGCTCTGTCAAGATGCTCCTGACTTACAGTGACCCTATTAACTCATAGACTTCAAGTGGTCCTCTCATTTAATAATCTTGTTCAGGTCTTGCAAACTAAAGGCTAGGGGTTCCTTTATTGAGTCCATCTCATTTTAGCAATCCTCTTTTCCTACTGCTTTCTATCGTGTGTTTTCTATCAAGTCTTATGTCCAAAGCAGGATAGCTTCAGTTTAACTGTTTTAGCTTCAACAGAGTTCAGACTTGATTTAATACAGAACCCACACAGCTGTTTTTCTGACTTTCCACAGTATCTGTAAAGCCCACTTCCAATATCCCATTCTGAAACAACTGATTTTTCTCCTGTCAGCTTTCTTCCTTTTTCAGCTTTTTGGATCAATGATTACAGCAAGGCATTTTAAAAAATTACTATCTGTGAAAGGTTCTGTACCAACTTCACCTCTCATCTGCTCTTCCAAGAAGCTGCCCTTCAAGAATTTCTCCACCTATCACCACTGGAACTATAAATTATCCCAACTGGTGGGACTGTTAATTCCTGAAGAAAATAGATGTATTTTAGCCTGGTGTCTCCCTTGGGCGATGCTGCTTGAAGTCTGCATTGTCGACATAGTCTATTGTCCTGAAGGTACTTCTCTCAGCTTCCCTGACATACTCAAATGCTTTCATACCAAATTAAGGTGTGCATTCCAAATGGTGTGCTGATGTACAGGTGGCTAGATCATCAGTCTTTAGAAGCTCCCAGACCATCAGTACTAGAGCCAAATGTATCTACAATACTGAGCCAATTGCTGTTGGTGATTTGCCTGTAAGTCAGAGACAAGGGGCTTTGGACTTATACTGACCCTAATAAGATTTCTTCTTTGTGGTCTCTGTAAATACAGTACACACAAATGGGTTTTTGTGCACCTGCGCAGAGACTTTCAGAAACTTCTAAAGCTTTAACACATGTTGTTATGACCTCCCTCCTGTCGCACGTGCCCCCACCCATGGCACAGAGTGCCTCAGTTCCTTTGTTTTGCCACTGCTGCAGCAGCATCGCGGCTATGGAGCTTCAGTTGTTCATCTGAAAAGAAAAGAAAAAATAGTTAGAATCCTTCACAAGGCCTTCCTCAGTTTTTCTCCTCTGTGAGTAAAAAGAAAAAGAAAAAAAGAAGAAGAGAGAAATTTAGAGTCTCTGCACAGGAACACTAAAACCTATTGCTGTGAATTAACAATGACCACTCTAAGAACCAGATTTACAGGTAAGTGGCCTCTCTTTTTCTGCATATAAGTTAAATAAGCAGGGAGACAATATACAGCCTTGTCGTACTCCTTTCCCAATTCTGAACCAATCAGTTGTTCCGTATTCAGTTCTAACTGTTGCCTCCTGTCCCACATATAGGTTTCTCAAGAGATAGATAAGGTGGTCAGGCACTCCCATTTCTTTAAGGACTTGCCATAGTTT